CTATAATTCTGAATGTGTCTCCATGCTTCAACAGGAAGAAGGTGTCCTTTATTTTCCATGTAAGTCTTCTTGCAAGAGGCATGGATTTTATTTGTAGCTAATGTAGCTGTGAATAGATTTGAGAAAACTTTGGCACTTTATGGGTTTTTATATAGCAGTAGGTTAGTTGATGGCTTCTAACTGACGCTTAAACAAAATCTTTAGTATATTCGGATTCAGTTTAGGAAATCCATAGAGTATTGATCAAGCAAAAATATTTAAAACTATATTGCTAACGAAAATTTACATATCTTAGCAATATTTACAATTCGTTTGGTACAGAAATCTTTATAATATCTACGATTTAAAGAAACAATATTTTTGAGTAGTTATTATATAGAGATTCTTCATGGCCAAGCTAAACGATTTAATGCATTCTTAAGGATTTTAAATAATAGTCGGATATTACTTTTATGCATAAAATCAGATAGTTAAACAGCTCGTAACGAATTTAGAATATACCATCGGAATCAAATTTTAAAGTGTCTGTGAGTTGTTAGTCAAAAACATTAAAAATAATTATTTATTAAATGTTTTCTAATTTAAATCTGAATTTTTAGAATATACTATAAGAATAAGATATTATCAAAAATATTGTTGNTGCATAAAATCAGATAGTTAAACAGCTCGTAACGAATTTAGAATATACCATCGGAATCAAATTTTAAAGTGTCTGTGAGTTGTTAGTCAAAAACATTAAAAATAATTATTTATTAAATGTTTTCTAATTTAAATCTGAATTTTTAGAATATACTATAAGAATAAGATATTATCAAAAATATTGTTGATAGCATTTTTGCGATTTTACTAATCTGTAAATGATATTAAAAAATTTAGGTAGGGGTTGGATTTTTCGAGTTTTGGTGGCAAACAGTTCCCCTACTTTTATGGTTTAGTTTTAGGAATGTTGGGGTATAGATTTACATAATACTATAGTTAATGTTACCGAGGCGGTTTATTCCCTGTCATCTATTACACACTATTAATTTTGTTTATCTGACATCTAAAATATTTAATGCGTATTTAATGAATTAAACAGGGAAAGGATCGCAAAATGATGTTCTTTGAATCGAGAAAACACAAAAGATAAGTATTTAAATGGATTTCTTTTTTAGTAGTGTTGATGGTAAAAATAAATCAAAAAATAAATTCTAAAAAAATCAACCAATAGAATCGCTAGAATTCTTTTGAGAAGGGCTGTGTGAGTGTCACGTGTCAAAGTGACTTCTCTTTTAATGTATAGGGGGATGTTTAAGATTTTTAAATGGTAAAACTAACTATTAAATTGTTTTTGTTTATTTTTTTTTAAAAAACTTGGTATTTAACACATGTTAAGTATATAATCGCAAGCAATTAGTAAGTTTGAAAAGCAAGTAACTTTGAAACCTAAGGTAGCTAGGGTTAAATATATCGCAGATGCCGAAACTTCATAGTAATCTTTCTGATGATAAATCACCTAGTGACGAGGGGAATCAGTTGGAGGATAAGCATAAGGAGATTATTGGAATCCATGATAGTCAAAGTAGTCGCGGTGTTGAAATCCAGCTATCTCTTGCCGAATCATCTGCAACCTATTATTCCATCTCTCACGAGTAACCCTAGCTAGCTACCTTGTTCTTTTCTTCATCTCATATGTTTGCTCGTCTGAGTTTTGTGTGTGTCTACTTTAGGATCTATAACAAGTATGACCACCGTCAATCATCTCTTCATATCTAGTAAGAGTAACTCTTGCTTCATATCTAAGTGGTAGTCTTTGTTAATGCATGCTCAAATATTCCTTTTGTTTTTTTATTGTCTGCTCTGCTGGACTCAAGCGATCCCTTGCTCTTGCACATGAAAAAATATCAAAGGTACAAAATTTTCTTAACTATTTCCATTGTTTAGTTGTTATATTCATTTTGTTTCTAAAAACCGATTAGGTTTTGAAGTTTCTATATAATGATGATAAGAAAAGGCCAGAAGAAACTAGTATTAATAAAAGTTGATCTTTTTTGCAACCTTGATTGAGACCTGCTAATATCAGTTGGTCTCTCACTTTGGATTTCTGTAGGCTTGTAGAAGAAGAAGCCAAGGAGACGGAAGCATCTTTTCCCCAAGCTTGGTCAATGTTTGATTCTCCAAATTTCCAAGCTGAGGTAAAAGTTCATGCCATGTTCAATTCATTTTTATTTTTATTTTTATTTTTACATTTTTTCATTCTTTTTTTGTTTGGTTGTTTGTAAAATTAGAAAATGTTGTCGGAGAGCTCGGGGCTTATGCTAGTAAGATTAATCCATTCCTTTGGGAATGCTTTTTCCAGAGTATCATTTGCGTGGGAGGATATATCAAAGGACCCTCTTTCGTCCACGCTGGATGTACGTGACCATTTTCTTTTTGTTTTTTTTTGTTCTAATCAAAAGTCTTAGCGAATGATTTATTTTCTCATAAACAGGTATCTCTTTGTCCTGACTACCCTAAATTAGTCGATTTAATAGTCAACCATCGTCCAACTAGTCTACTCCGTGACTTTGTAGTGTGGTCATTTGGCCATATTCTCGATTCTTTGTCTCACTGTCGTTGGGAAAAGGGTCACTCACCTACGCATCTATCTGACGTGATTTTCCAAAACTCTTACTCTTGTCCAATTCCAGTTACCTCTCTTTGACATTATCTTGGTTATTATTCTATGATGATTAGGTGTCGATATTTCCTGCACTAGCATTAGTACTACGTAGCCACCCCGATATTCTTCCTATGAATTTTCGGCCTCTGAATGAGATTCATCTTTGGTATCAAAAAAATGGCGCCGTGACTTGTCCAAGTATAGTTTGGATGATATATCAGGTTCGTTTGTTTGTGTCTGATCTAGTACCAAGAATGTTTGTTTTCTGTGTTGTGTATACTGAAATTTATCCAACTGTAAAAACGTGGGCAGGTCTCCTATGGTAATATACATGCAGCCTTGTTTTCATGGGTTCATTTCTTATTACCACAGTTACAAGAAGTCTCTACCAACCCTCACTCAAGGAAATTCATCCTGCAAGTGGTTGAGAAGTAAGTGTCTGTTTCTTTTGATATATAAATATATTTAATACAGTCATCTCATACCTTGTCCATGTAATTTTCTTATCAGAATTTTTGAGAAACCAAGGGCTCAGACCAAACTTGTAGAGTCTCCTACTTTTTGGGATAATAATCCTTGGTGGGAAAATGGGCAATTAATTCCCCAANTTCCCCAAAGCTTTTAAGCTTTTACAATAACATATACAATAATAAAAATAGTTATAGTTGCAGTTTATTGTTGATGTATTTCATGTTTATAAAATCACATATGGATGATTTCATATCATTTACAGAATCATATGTTGTAAATTAGATCTCAATTTTAGACTAGAGATGGCAAAAAATATCAAACCGAATAAAACCGAACCAACTGAATCGAAACAACTCCAGACCAAACTGAACCGAGTTAAACCGAACCGAGAAAACAATGTGCTTTTGTTATTATTTGAAAACTAAAATCTCTATTAACTTTATTCAATATACTTAAATCATAACACTAACGATTAACTTTATTAACGCTTTTTAAAAAAATAAAAAAATCTGTTTACTTTAGTTATCTTTGGTTTAGTTGTGTTCTTATAAAAAAATGTTGATTTTTCAGATTTTTTTTTTCAGTTTTATATTATAATTATAATATAAAACTGTCTGATCATGCTTTATGTAAATTAATTATAATATAAAACTGAAAAAAAATCTGAAAAATCACCATTTTTTATAAGAACACAACTAAACCAAAGTTAACTAAAGTAAACAGACTTTTTTTTTTTAAAGCGTTAATAAAGTTAATCGTTAGTGTTAGGATTTAAGTATATTGTATAAAGTTAATAGAGATTTTAGTTTTCAAATAATAACAAAAGCACATTGTTTTCTCGGTTCGGTTTAACTCGGTTCAGTTTGGTTTGGAGTTGTTTCGATTCAGTTGGTTCGGTTTCATTCGGTTCGATATTTTTTGCCATCCCAAGTCTAAAATTGAGATCTAATTTACAACATATGATTACGTAAATGATATGAAATCATCCATATGTGATTATATAAACATGAAGTACATCAACAATAAACTGCAACTATAACTATTTTTATTATTGTATATGTTATTATAAAAGCTTAAAAATCTATTTCAAAAAGTAAAAATCTCGTATATTGATTGTATCTGACTTGAAAATCTTTTAAATTATATATATATATATATTTTTAAAAAGTATTGATGTTTTAAATTCCTCAAGTATTTTCAATCGGCAAATTAAATACTCAAGTATTTATTGCGCATAATTATTCCCCAATTAATAGTTGACTGTGTGAAATTAGGAACGAAATAGTCAACCGTTATCTTTCCGTTAACCAGTTAACGGTTTGACTATTTCATTCCTAATTTCGCGCAGTCAACTATTAGTTGGGGAATAATTCTGCGCGAGCAATACTTGAGTATTAAAACTGCCGATTTCAAATACTTGGGGAATTAATTGCCCATTTTCCCNCCCAATTAATAGTTGACTGTGTGAAATTAGGAACGAAATAGTCAACCGTTATCTTTCCGTTAACCAGTTAACGGTTTGACTATTTCATTCCTAATTTCGCGCAGTCAACTATTAGTTGGGGAATAATTCTGCGCGAGCAATACTTGAGTATTAAAACTGCCGATTTCAAATACTTGGGGAATTAATTGCCCATTTTCCCCTGCTTCCACGTCATTTGTTCGAGATTTTGCTACGGGTTACATTCCCTGCTACATCCTCCGCAAGTGAAGAGGTAGCTACTAGTATTATTATTATTGGGAATCATTATAACTAATTTTCCGATTCTGATAACAGCTGTTGTCTATCTATGTATTGCATGCATATACAGGATACAAGGAGGTTACTAAAAGTTTATACCATGTTAAAGGAAGTGGCTCTTGCCTACACGAGCGACTCCCTAGATATATGTTCACTTTGTCTTTGAGATTAGCTGAAGAAGAAGGTAATTAATTTGATAACACACCAAACCTTGAATTTCTCTCTTGTTCATCTGTTAGTTACTGTTGTTGCAGGAAATCCTGGTTTAGCAAAGGAAGCTATAGAAATCGCTATCTGGTGTCTGACTGAAAACTTTGATTGCTGGAAATGCTGGAAGAAGCTGTGCACTAAGGCAAATCCAGAAGGAAGTGTTGTTCTTCTTAAAACGCTTGTAGAGAAATGGAACGCGCATTCCCTCGAACTATCATCACCATCAACCGAGGCAATGAAACTAATCATTCAAAAGATGGCCAGAACTTGTTTGAAAATAGCTATACAAGGTATTAGTATCCTTGATACAGTTGTCCCAGGATCTCCTGTTTTACTAGGGGAAGCCTCAGCAGTCGCTATCCTGTCTCTGACTGAAATTGTGGATTGCTGCAAGCCCTGGGACAATCTCTATAGGATGATTCTAAATGATAGTGGTACTCTTCTGAAAAATCTGGTCCAAAAATGCAAGGATGATGTTGGTGCACCAAAAAGCGAGGCAATGGAACATGTCTACAAACAGATATTCACTTTTTCTTTGAGATTAGCTGGCAAAGGTAGAGTTTCTAATCTGTTACCGTTGATGCAGAAAGTCCTGCTTTAGCCAGGGAAGCTATAGAAATCTCTATCTGGTCGCTGACCAAAAACTTTGATTGCTGCAAGCAGTGGGGATATCTCTACAAGGAGAATATAAAAGCTAGTGTTGCTCTTCTTAAAAAGCTTGTACACGAATGGAATGATCATTCATTATCACCTAGTGACACTTTCACTCTCAGTAAAACTATTAAGAGATTCAGGGTAAAGGTGATACCTCTGACCTAACCTGTGTATGTTTTTCTTAGAACCAAAAGGCCATTGCCGAAGGAGGAGCCAATGTTAATCTCTGCAAGGAAGCTGATAAGTTCTGCAAAGTAATTTCGGGGAGACTGTCTCGTCGAAGTTGCCGCCTGAATGGTGCTTTTGCTTTGGTTTTAGTTGCTGCTCGTGGAATTTGCCGCCTGAATGGTCCATGCATTAATGCTTTGGTTTTAGTTGCTGCACTTCTTCTGTTCTATCCGACCGTGTTTGGTTTTTACAAGTTGTATAGGTTTCGTAATATCAGAGTCTCAAAGTTGGGATTTGGGTGTCTGTTTACAGGGGCTTATTCATACCCAAACTATGAGTTTCTGAAAATAATATACCTAAACCTTTTTTACATACTAAAACATACTTAATTTTTTTTTGTGTGCGAAAACACATCTAAATTTTTCTTAGGTGCGAAAACATCTTTAAATTATATATAATTTGAATTATATATATGAACTTATATGATCCCTATAAAAAGGTATGTTCTACACTTTGAAATTCATCAATTTTCATCAACTCTTTCTTATCAGTCTAAGCTTTCTAATAGATTCATCCTAGAAACGGCTTTATTTAAAAGCTTCGGATATGGCTGATGATTCAGATTAAGATTTGTTTGTTGATTTTGGTTCAGTTTGATTATATTATCAAAATTTTAGTTCTAAATCTCCAGTTTGTGGGAGAAACTTTATCCCAGGAGCTTACGCCTATGCGAAGTTATTTGATTACAGATTATTTGATTACAAATATATTTGTTAATTTTCAGAAGCTTACGTCTATGGAGATTATTTGATTACATATATGTTTCTCATTTTGTTTCATTTTGTTTATCAAAAACATTAATTCAAAAGGTTTCGCTTATGTTAGATAATCTAAATTCGATTTTGTTTGTTGATAATGCTTCCATTTGTTCTTTGGACACGATATCTTTGCTACCAAGTTCTGGTGGAACAAATAGTGTCGTTTGAATAACCCAGAGTATTATCATCCTTGATACAGAACGTTACAAAGTTAAACAACGAATAAAACTAAGAGGCCTCATGATGAAAGAGCGTAACCAATAGCTACCCCCATCTGGTTCTTAATAATAGTGCAGGTTCTCAATCTCTTCACTGGCCAGCTCTGTTGTCTTGCCTTAGGTATTTAAAACTTTTCTTGCTCATCCAAGAAAAGCTAACCAATTCAATATTATGGTTCATAGCTTTTTTGTTTTTCTGTGACAATGTGGCAGATTGATATCAACGCAGATTTTTGTGCGTTGGTTCAGACAGAACAAATGGAGGTTTTGTATAATGCTTAGGTAAAAGTCTCCAAGTTTCACGAGATCATGGAGATTGTCGTGTTCTCAAAGGGAGCTTGGCAGAGCAAAACGACAAGGAGAACTGGGTAAGTTCTGCAAGAACTCATGGTAGCTGGAAAGTTTACATGCAAGACAGCTTGAAGCTAAACTAGAAGAAGCTGTTTCCCAGATCAAGACAAGAGACATTGTATTCTCAGCATGTTTCTACTTGTGACGCCATTTGGCTTATCTCTGTTAACATTATTGAAACAAAAGATTTGAATAGAATTTCACCAAAGTTAGTTTTACCATTCAAACTATATTAATACTTATAATGAAAATTCAATATATATTTTAATATAGAATAAAAGAAAATGAGAAACACATGAAGAGTCTTATAATTTTTTATTCGGTAATTTCTATGTAATTGAAAATGATAATGCCACCTAATATAGACCGAATATTTAGACTTATGATTTCTTTTTTGTGTTCAAAATTTAGACTTATGATTATCCGCTGTTTTTGTACACTCTCCCTTTCATAAACAGTTACATACAATCTACTTTCCAACTATTCACAAGCAAACATCTTTTTTTTCTATAATACATACATCTTTTTTTCTATAATACATACTCAGAACTTTTAGCTATTTAACAACACAAATAAATTCCAAAGCGATAAACATTCATAGTGACCCAAATATGAGTGAGATTTTAGCTTACAACCAAAGTTTAAGAATAAAATAATCCGAGAAACCAAAAAGCATACAAATCAACAAATCACTAACTATGTCCCTTTTCAAAACAAAAAAAAAACAAATCACTAACTCAATGGAACTGATGTAAAATTCTACAAACGGATACAAAGTGTTGCCTTGAGTATATCTCAGCAATATAGTCATCATCTAGCAATAAAAAGAGACCTGAAAGTCCACAGAGCCCAGCAGCAAACATGGCCAACTGGAATAGTCATAAACCAGAGCTAAGGGATTAGTCTTATGATACAGTTTATATGTATTTTTTTCCATCGGTTTATATGATTCAAATATTAATTTTTGAGTGGTGGTTTGCTGAAATATGAAACTCATAAAGGTTGTTTTTTTTGTTGAGAAAAACTCATAAAAAAATGGTTTCACTTTTTTGTTGTTTAGTTTGGTTTCTGACTTATTCTTCATTTATAATACGTTCTCAACAATTGGTTTAGATAATAATAATATTCTGTCATTTAGATTAGTCAGTTGATTTCCAATCATAAAATAGTTTGGTTTGGTATGAAAAATAACCTGCTAAAATCATTCGTTTTAGTCAGAAACCATATTAGCTAATTGTATTTTCTTTTATTCTTCTAAAATTTGATCAACCTATAACCTATTTAATTAACTGTACATTTAGCTAATCCAATCAATCTAATTATGATAACGTTTAATTCATCTTGCTCATTAATTCTATATTTCATCTCAAATATAATAAAATAAAAGAATTTTAAATTTTGTCTTCTAATATCTAAGTTTACTATAGAATATATTTATTAAATACAAATAAATTAAATTTTTTATAAAATTCCCGGGCGTAGCCCGGGTTTTTCCTAGTGAACTTATATGATCCAAGCTAATTCATACTTAAACTTTCTGTGTGTTATGTATATATTTTTTCATTATGACAAAAACTTATTTATTATTGAAAAAATTAGAACCGAATTACATAGGAGCTTACATTGGACCCGAAACACATTTGCTCTTTTGGAAAAGAAGTTAGTTTGACCTTTATTTTTCTTTTTTTCTATTAGAATAACTCGAATTTATTTTTTATATTTACTTTAACCTTAATTCATTTGTTATCAAAAACAGTAATTATGCATCTTCGGGCTTATTTTATATACTTTTCTGATTCTTTTTTTAAAAAAAAAATTGAAACTATTTTAAAATTTGTATTAAATTTTGGATATTTACTTATTTATTAAAATCCTAAACCACATTCTCTAAAACCATATTCATCAAATCTAAATTTTAAGTCTAAATCTAAACTAGATCTACATATTCTTTTACCTTTTTAAAATTAAAGTTAAATGTGATCAAAGTAAACATGATAAATAGTATTATGAATGTGGTAGTTTAAACATTTTATCAATTTAATATATATATTTATAGCAACATGATAATAGTTTTCTATTTTAGTAAAAGTTTTTTAATTTGTTTAATAGACGATGTCAGAGAAAACTCTAGGTGACAAAGACAGCGATTCGAAGAGCAATTCTCACATTTTCCTTGTGGCAGTTCACGATGGGGACTCCTCTCCCCCAAGGAAAAAATCACTCTCTCTGGTCAATGCCCTCTATGGCGTAAAACCGCCACGGTGCCACCTCCTGATGAAGTAAATGGTGTGTAACAACGATCCCCCGACGAGATTTTGGCGGATCCAAATCCTCTGTGGCGGTGTTATGTGGTGGATATTTCATTGGGGACGCTCTTCATGTTAGATCTATTCATGCTACGGTGAATCGACTCTGCTCCTCACCGAAGATGGGATGCAAAATTGATGTTCTGTTTCTCGAAAAAACACTGTTCTGGATTGAAAACCCTCAGATAAGAGTTCGATTGATCCAGAGATTATACTGGCATATTGCGGACATTCCCCTGGTTTTTAATGAGTGGTCCCTTGAAACGACCATTCAGCCTCCAAACCTATCTGCAATGCCGATGTGGATTGATCTTAAGGGAATGCCAAGTTTATTATTCTCGCTTAAGGCTTTGAAGTGTTTAAGTAGGGCTGCCGGAAAGTTTGTGAAGTTGCGTCCCAACAAATAGAAGTGTACCAGAATTGAGATGGCTCGTATTCTTGTGGAGGTGGATTTGAACAAAAAATTGGTGGAGAAAATCAGTTGTCTAGATAAAGATAGTGTGCAAGTGATGATTGACGTTAGCTACCTCTAGTTGCCTCTGAAATGCAATGTATGCAATGCGTGTGGTCATAAGGGCGTAGGATGTACTTCAAAGAATGTAAAATTTCTACAGAAGGATAAAGAGATCATGGTGGCAGCAGAGGGATCAGATTTGATGATAAACGGTGATGGCCAGGTGAGATATGAAATTAGTACAAATCGTAATGTGGTCAGTGATTTGATTCACAAGCTTGAGGGACTGCCTCCAGCTTTGGGAAATATTGGTGTGGGAGACGTGTTGAGAATGAAGTTTGAGGTTGGAGATGCTTCATTTACAGACTCAGATTTGGATACTTTAAAGCATGATTAGGAGTTGGTGGGGAATAAAACTTCTCCAACTGTGGTTACAGTAGATGAGCAGGAGGAAGAGTATGATATAATTTCACCTTCTAGATTTAATATTTTGGCGACGGAGGGGTTTAATGAGAATGACGAGAAGGTAGATGAAGAGTTAGAGGAGGGATAAATGGTTTCAGAAGTAAAAAAAGGCGGGGGCAAAGATGAAAAACACAGGGAAGAGTCTTCATTTCCGCACAGGTACCAGCTGAAAGCTCAATAAACAAATTCTAGGGAGACTTAAGGAGACCAAGGCGGCAAAGACTCATACCATCAAGAAAGCTTTCTCTCAGAAGTGATGACGTCCTTCTTCGTTTGGAATATGCGTGTTTTTTTAGTTTATCATGCAAACACAGGGACAGAGATCAGAAGATGGGTACATACTGAGAAATTTATGTTTGGTTGTTTGTTGGAGACTCGGGTGCAACAGGACAACTATGGGAAGTGTTTGGCTGAAGCTTTGTCGGGTTGGGATGCTCTAGCCAACTATGGTTTCAATCCACTAGGACGTATTTGGTTCTATTAGACTGAAAAAGTGGTTGTCACTCTGCTTCATATCAGTTCACATGTCATCACAAGCGCTGTCCAGGTCCCTCAAACTAGGGAATAATTTATTTGTTCAGCCGTCTATGCTTCGAATTGCGAGATGGAAAGAAGAATTTTATGGGAGGAGCTGAGAGGAACTCGGGATGCTTATCAACATCTTTATATGCCTTGGATAGTCATAGGAGAGTTCAATGTAACGTTGGCGTCTGGAGACCATTCTCGTGGCACTATGCCACGTTCTCAGATTAGAATGCCGTTTCAAGATGTGGTTAGGGACTGTGGTTTAACAGATAGAGCGTATACAGTGGCTTTATTTACTTGGTGGAACAAACAAGATGAAGATCCTTTAGGAAAGAAATTGAAATCGGCTTTGATAAATGCGGCTTTTTCCCTCAATCCTCTTCTCGTTTTGAAGCAGGGGGTATATATGATTTTTTGAAGCAGGGGGTATATTTGATCATGCTCGTTGTGTGGTTAAACTCTCAAGCAATCTTAACGAGGAAAGGAAGTCCTTCAGATTTTTTTTAATTATTTTGTTGATCATGCCAATTTCCTTCCTGTGGTTAAAATAGTACGGGATGCGACAAAAGTCATTCATCACTCTAGAGCAGCATTGAGTAGATTTCACGCTAAGTTAAAGCTCTTGAAGTATGAAATGCGATTACTTAACAAGACTCATTATAAGGATTTACCAAACAGGACCAAGCAGGCTTTTGAGGAGATGTGTCACTATAAAAATATGGTTTCACAAGACCCATATCCTATCACCTTTGCAGCGACAGCTATGGCTTCAGATCGATAGAATAAACTGGTCAGAATTGAGGAAAATTTCTTCCATAAGAAGTCATGTGTCAGATGGTTGGGAGCACGAGATCAGAATACAGTTTTTTTTTGTCATCATGCTGTGCAGAGCAGAACTGCTCGAATCACAATTAAAAGCCTTATCAATGAGGTTGGAGAGACTCTCACAAAGCTATCAGATATAAAGAAAGAGGCAGTTCAGCACTTTCAAAGATTTTTACAAGTTCAAGATCAGGGTAATGATGTGGATCCTTACCCCTTTCTGTAGGATTTTCTCACTTATCGCTGCTCTATTGGGTCTGCTGTGGGGCTTGTGGCGCTTGTGTCTGCTGAAGAAATAGAATCAGCTCTACATGCTCTACTGAATGATAACGTATCAAGGCGTGATGGTTTCACTAAGGAGTTTTTTTTTTGTTTTGGCTTAGCCAATCATAGGAGAAGAATTCATCATTGTTGTGCAATCTTTCTTCTTCTTTGGATTTTAACCACGGGATTAATGCTACAATCCTTACTCTTATTCCTAAATCAGAGGAGGCACAATCTATCAAGGATTATAGACCAACTTCCTTGTGAAATTTCTTGTATAAATTCATCTCATCTCTTAATGGAAATGTTGCAGCAAGAGTCGAGTGCTACTAATACCGATTTTAATATAGCACATAATAAACGCTAAAATATATCTATTTTTTATAGCATACGAAAATACACTACGATAAAGACGGGGGGGGGGGAGTCTACCATAGCTGTGGCTGTCAGAACATTTACAAAAATGCTACGAAAACCCTATGATAGCGTTTTCCGGGTGCTACCAATACCGATTTTTCTTGTAGTGGGAGATCAGAAGATGGGTACATGCTGAAAAATTGTTTGTTGGAGACTCGGGTGCAATAGGATAATTATGAGAAGTGTTTGGCTGAAGATTCATCGAGCTGGGCTGCTGTAGCCAACTACGGTTTCAATCCACTGGGACGTATTTGGTTATGTTCGACTGACAAAGTGGTTGTCACTCTGCTTCAATCAGTTCACAGGTCATCACATGCGCTGTCCAAGTCCCTGAAACTAGAGAGTAATTTATTTGTTCAGCCGTCTATGCTTTGAATTGCAAGATTGAAAGAGGATTTTATGGGAGGAGCTGAGAGGAACTCGGGATGCGTATCAACATTTTATATGCCTTGGATAGTCATAGGAGACTTCAATATAACGTTGGCGTCTGGAGACAATTCTTGTGGCACTATGCCACGTTCTCAGATTAGAATGCCGCAGTTTCAAGATGCGGTTAGGGACTGTGGTTTAACAAAATTCTACTCCTTACCCCCATTCTCTGTTGATTGAGTAAGATTTTTGATCCGAATGCACGAAAAGATATCCAATTTTTCGAAATCTGGTGACAGGTACTACTAGGGGAAAAGTTTAACGAAGAGCGATCCTTATATCAGGACACGAAGCCACAATGTCTTCAGGAGATGTGAGGAAAATATAATTCCCATTCAAAGCAGAATAAAATAAATCCGAAAGTGGAAATCACTGGGTGTCGAACACACGAACTCTTTTGTTGCCATTAGACTTTGGCAACAAAGACTTGTTTGAAAAGCTAGGTTTAACCATCACAACAACAATAAAAAATGATACCAAACTGACATTGCTCAACTATAACCAAAAATTGTAAAATTAGTTTTTTTAATCTATTATTCTTGTTTTCTATGTCGCTCAATCTCTCAGTTAGGCTTATCTAAGAAAAAATGAGAATAAGATATAGAATTAGTTAGGGAAACATGCAAAAAATTGTCGGTTACTAACAGTCTAACACACAATGAAAGTAAAAAAAAAAAAAAAACACACGATGAAAGTATAAAGTACTAATAAAACAAAATTAACGGGAGTTTTTGACAACGAAGAATACAAGACAATGTTGGATCCAATGATTTTTCTTTAGTGCGTAATAGTTTTTAATGAAAAAAAGGACAACAACACGATGTGAAAAACTTGCTCACATGTCTCCACAATGCGATGAGAATTAGCTCAAATTTTGTTTCAACACTTTCTTTTTTTGTCAACATTTCAACACTTATTTAAAGGTAAAGAGTGCAAAAGGAAGACTTGCAATTTGATTCATCATAAGTCAACCCTGCACACACTCTCTTCTCTCGTTGTATTATTCCCAAGATGGAAGCCTAACACAAAAAAATAAAAATCCACAAATCAGTAACATCCAACCCTTAAAAATGTATTTTACACTGGAACCATTTATACCCAAGCTTAAGGGAAGTGTCTGAAAAGTCATCTTCAAAGGGAGCTCCACTCTCATAGCTAGACACATTTGTGGTCGCCGACTCTGTTTCCACAGCCTCCTTTGACGCCATCGTTTTAGCCATTTCCAGCGTCACTACCTAATATTTATATTAAATTCACGATTTAGCTTATTTGTATTACTTCTTAATATATTGAATAATCTCTACAGTATGTACAGAGCCATACTCTCTCCCTCAGTCTCTTATTCTCATCCACCAACTCTGATCCCTACATGAATTTACGCCATTTATTAATATGAGCATAAATTATATATAGCTATGCTTAATTAATATGTACATCATCCATAATACGAATTCTACGTACTAACCCGTTTCTCAAGTGACGAAATCTGGCTCATCAAAAACTCCCCCTAGTTAACAACAACAACAATAATGTCACATTTTGTATATAAAGAAAACATGCATGCTATTAGTCTATTTCTCGTAATGAACCTTTTTCTCAGACACACGGCTGAGTCCGGATTCAAGCAGTTTCTCCAGCCGCTGCAACTCTTCTAAGTTCAATCCTTCAAGATCCTCTCCTCTCAGTTTTCTGTTTTACGGTAGAATACAATATTTATTAGCAATCACCTTTGCACTTCAGTTTCATGAGAAGACTTAGACCCAAACAAACTCATGTCTTATAATATCTAATTAGGAACGCCAAAACTACGACGTTAGCTTTTGTGATGATCTCGAAACAAAGGTCTTTTTAAAGTTGGTTGGACGGTTGGATTCATTCAAAAAGTTACCCAACCAGCAAAACAAAAATTTTATCCACATATTGATAGCTACATATATTCTAATAATATGAAAATAACGAGTTATACTTGCAAACGAACTCACTAAATAATTCTTAAAATCTATTAAAACATCGAGGAAGCTACACATGAAATGAAATGGAATGACTTTGTTGGTTAGATGAAATAAATTCTAAAACATATGGACAACCTTCACACATCATTGTCAAAACATAAAAACCACACATGCAAAGTTGCAAACAGTTCTATCGTACGTACATGAGATTTTGTTAACCACCATAAATATAAATGATCCCATACCTTAGCTGCTTGGTTTTGTCTTCGACTTCCTGGCTTAGTCGGTATAGATTACAATCCTCAAGCTGCTACATGTAGAGTCAAAATTTTTAGGTTCTCTTATTGATTTGTAAAACTAAGTAATTAAATGCTCGTAGATTAATGATGATAATTATGATATGCCATTTGATGTCTCTAAATCAGGACTTACACCAAACAATTCAATGAAGCTCACATAACAAGTGATATGGGAGAATATTATAGAAAGAAAGATGAAAGAAAAAGAGTGAATGCGAATACCTGGTGATGTGGAGAAGGTTGACCCATCACTTTGTTGATGTTACTTGCATGAAGATTATACCTTCCCAATATGTCTCTCATTCTACACGTTTCAACAATCAATACATCTTTAAAAAATAACAAATAGTTCATCTTTCATATGACCATTTCCTTAGTCCAAATATGCAATTTGTGAAATTAAATAATTAAAGAATACACTAGAAGCATGTCTTTAGTCACCATACAGAAAAAGAAATCAAAAGCAGACATCACGTCAAAATATGTGCAGAAGATATTTATTAGATGACGACTCCATTTTCAGTTATCTGTGCTTATCACATAAAATAAACGAGTGGTTAAGATTTAAGACTTAATCCCCAATCATACCAAGTGAAATTGTCAAACGACTTTTGTAATAAATAAAATAAAGAGAAAATAAGTTCATTCTATTTCTAATTGTGGTAAGTACAATGTATCCATATATGCACATGCTTTTATCCACAGATTAGCACAATCACACTATAATAGTATACTCTCCCCTTTACCATCATACATAGTTAACCATAAGTGTAAATAAAAAGTATATAACGCATACTTCTAATTCAGTAAATTTCAACGTAATTACAAGATGTGTGAAATGATAGTTAACATAATGCATATATTCTTATTAGGATGATGAGAGCAAGTACAATAATTTAAGTTCGTCAGAATCTTTCTTTTTCCTACTTCAATATATCGTATAACTATGCGGTGACACAAATTGATTACGTACATGATATCTCCAAGCCCAAGAATGATTTAATTAATAATTTAAAAAATACACAAAAATCTCATATAGACATATCTTGACATAAAAACATCTCTCCAACCATTTTCTCTATAACACATCAAAGACTGAAAAATAAAACAATAGTTTTTTTTTGTCAACTAATAGAAGAAGATTAATAATATCAAAGTAGAGATACCTTGAGCTAGAGTACTCGAAGAGCTTTCCTGTGGCCGAGAAGATGATGAGAGCAACATCGGCATCACAAAGAACCGAAAGTTCATCAGCTTTCTTGAAGATTCCTCTTCTTCTCTTAGAGAAAGTAACTTGTCTCGCTGTTATGTTATCTATCTTCTTTATCCTTCTCTTTTCTCTCGCCATTTTACCTGATCTCTTTTACTGTTGATCTTGGATCTAACCTACCCACAACAATATTCAGACCAAGAAACAAAGAAATAAAACGACGTGGGACTATAGTTAGGTAAGTAGGGTTTTTCTAATATTCTGAGGAAACCCTAGTGAGAGAGATATCAGATCCAGAAACTCAGAGAAGTAAAGAAAGAACAAGACTAGATGAATCCATGAAATGTTCTGCTTAAAGAGAAGAAAAGTAGATTCACAGCTGTTACCTTTCTTTGAGTGGGAGGATCTTAGATTAGGTTTTGCAATCTCAGAACCCACTTTATTAATTTCCTGAGAAGATAAAAAGGCCTTTATTCTCTAATGTAGAGTGTGTGAGAGAAAGAGAGAGATGGTGACTGAGAGAGTTTGTGTGTTCAAGATTGGAAAGACGAGTCTGCTTTTTTTAGCTAAACAGTGATTCACTTATTAATGGACCATACGTTTTGTGTTCCATCAGTTTCCCAAATTAAAAAATCATTAAATGTATCAATACACGTAAACACACTTTGTGTCCTGTCTGACTGGCCTGGCAGGCCAGAGACTGCTACAGTGTGCTCTTAGTTGTGATCTTAACATCAGTTAGTCTAGTTTTATTGTGTTCTAACTCAACTGGACGGCATATTGTTGTGTTTCTCATCTTTTTTTTTGTCAACAAGTGTGTTTCTCATCTATCGGTCTTGTTTTACACATTGCTCAGTCTTTCTAGTCCTTAGTTTTTATGATGTATAAAGGTTTCATTATAAGTTAAAATAGTTTTTTTTTTTACAATTTGGAGCACAAATTTTTTTATATATTAAAATATGAGAGTTAAAACGAAGGATTCATTTAACTAAAATATAGATCGACGAACTAATTTTCACCAGAACTATATATCTTATATGTCTATCGAACTATGACCATGTTCTATATATCTTTAATAATAATTTTAGAATTAATTTCCTATGAGAAAATATATTTGAAACTTATATATCCACATTAAGTTTGAAATCTAAAAAACTCTTGATAGATTACTGTTTTTATATTAAACTATAAATCATTTTTAAATTCGACATAACTAAAGTTAAGATCCAAACTATATTTATAAGATAACTTCTGAATGAAATGACCCGAATTAGACTTGTAATTAGATCTAATTCGGATTTTAATTTGATTAAGTGTCAGTTTTTAGTGGATTAGGCCATATTTATGTCCACAAATGGGCCCATCAACGAACTAGGAAAAGATTCTAAAATGCGACATGAAACCATCCGACTCGTGAAGAAGCTTTACGATAACGACATCAATTGGTAAAAAACGTGAACCACCGGACACTCTACAGACAAGACACGAGTTGGTATCGGTGATCACTAGACTCTAATCACAAAATTCGCCGATGAACATTTCGGAATCATAGGTATTAGAGTCCCACAACGTGTATTCATGATGTCTTTTGTAGAGAATATGTATATAAGGGTTTTTTAGTCATTGTATTATACCTAATACGGTTCTGTACCTTGTATATATATCGTACCATATAGAATAATCAAATTAGTTCAGTCAATACTCTTATATGGTATCAGAGCTGAGATACCTACGGATCTGATTTTTTTTTTTTTTTTTCCCAACAGCCGTCACCTTCTTCTTCTTCCTTTTTCTAAAACCCTCAACTTCCTTCGTCTCTCCCAGCCGCCATTGATGTCGACCTCAGCTGCCTCTTCGCATGAAACCATTCAAGTCTCTGACTCTCAAACCATTACCAATGTCAACATGAACAACGTCACCAAACTCACTTCATCGAACTTTTTGATGTGGAGTCGCCAAGTTCACGCCTTGTTGGATGGGTATGACCTAGCCGGGTTTATCGATGGCTCATCTGTTCCACCAAATCCGACTCTCAACAACGACGGTGCTCTCTCCACAAACCCCGCCTACACGATCTGGAAGCGGCAAGACAAGCTGATCTATAGCTCGCTGCTGGGAGCCATCACAGTTACCATTCAACCGATACTTTCCACTGCCACAACCTCCGCTCAGATCTGGGAAACTCTCTCTGCCACCTACGCAAAGCCTAGCCGTGCGCACATCAAACAACTGCGCCAACAAGTTAAGTCTTGGACGAAGGGTACGATGTCCATTGATGCCTATCTTCAGGGTTTCACAACCAGGTTTGATCAACTTGCACTACTTGGAAAGCCATATGAACTCGAAGATCAAGTCGACTATGTGCTCGAGGGCCTCCCTGAAGAGTACAAACAAGTAGTAGATCAGATTGAGAGCCGTGACACGACTCCGTCAATTACTGAGATTCATGAAAAGCTACTCAACTATGAAGTCAAACTTCAGACAAAGACTCCAACACCGGCTGTACTACCCGTTACTGCCAATGCGGCTCAGTTCAGAGGATCCTCCAACAGCAACCGGACCTATCAAGGTTCGAATCGCAACAACAACAGAGGTCAGCAAACGTGGCAACAGCAGCAGTTCTCGCCACGCCCCGATCAACAAACACGTGGTTACCAAGGTCGGTGTCAGCTATGTGGTACTCATGGACATACTGCACGCCGGTGCTCGCAATTCGCTAGCGTGTCTTCAGGTTCGCAGCTGACGTCACGCACCAACACTCCCTCACCTTCCTCGTGGCAACCCAGAGCTCACATGGCGACCACCCAAGCGTATAACCCCAACACCTGGATCCTCGATAGCGGCGCCACTCATCACCTAACGACAGATTTGAGCTAGGGGTGGGCATTTTATCCGATACCCGAACTCGTACCCGAATCCGACCCGAAATATCCGAACCGAAATCCGAACCGAAGTAGCAAAATACCCTAACGGGTATTGAGTTAGGAGAGTTTGGATATCCGAACCCGAACGGGTATTACCCGAACCCGAACGGGTATCCGAAGATAACCCGAACGGTTTCTATACCCCAATACCGAAATACCCGAAAACCCGAAATACCCGAACCGAAATCCGAACCGAAGTAGCAAAATACCCTAACGGGTATTGAGTTAGGAGAGTTTGGATATCCGAACCCAAACGGGTATTACCCGAACCCGAACGGGTATCCGAAGATAACCCGAACGGTTTCTATACCCCAATACCGAAATACCCGAAAACCCGAAATACCCGACCTGAACCCGAATGGGTACCCGAACGCCCACCCCTAATTTGAGCAATCTCTCCTTGCACCAGCCGTACACTGGAGGAGAAGAAGTTACAATCGCTGACGGTTCGACGATTCCTATCTCGCATACTGGTTCCACTTCCCTTCCAACTCCAACTCGTTCTTACTCTTTAAATGATGTCCTTTATGTTCCTAATTTACAGAAAAACCTTATATCCGTTTATCGTTTCTGTAATGCTAACAATGTCTCTGTTGAATTCTTTCCTGCCCACTTTCAGGTGAAGGATCTGAGCACGGGGGACCGGTTGCTCCAAGGCAAAACTAAAGACGAGTTGTACGAGTGGCCAGTAACTTCCCGCAATACCGTTTCTCTCTTTGCATCCCCAACACCAAAAACCTCCATCACCTATTGGCACTCGCGCTTGGGACATCCATCTATCTCTACTTTTCAAACTATTGTTTCTAAGTTTTCTTTGCCAGTTTCTTCTACTTCTCAAAAACTATTACCTTGTTCTCATTGCCTTATTAATAAAACTCATAAGCTTCCTTTTCATCAAAACTCTATCTCCTCCACTCAACCTCTTCAATACATCTATACCGATGTCTGGACTTCTCCCATTACCTCTGTTGATCACTACAAATACTACCTTATCTTTGTTGATCACTTTACCCGTTATACCTGGTTTTATCCAATCAAACAAAAGTCCCAAGTGCGCGATATCTTTACCCGATTCAAAACCCTCGTTGAGAAACACTTCAACCTTCCCATCCGAAACCTTTACTCCGACAATGGTGGAGAATTTGTGGCCCTTCGACAGTTTCTTGCAACCCACGGCATTTCACATTTGACATCACCACCACATACCCATGAACACAACGGTGTTGCCGAGAGAAAACATCGTCATATTGTCGAAACGGGTTTAACTCTTCTCCATCAAGCGTCTATGCCATCCGAGTATTGGACTTATGCCTTCGCTGTGGCGGTTTACTTGATCAACCGGCAGCCCTCCTCGGTCCTCACCAAAGAATCTCCCTACGCCATGCTCTTCAAGAAACCACCCAACTACTTGAAGCTACGCATCTTTGGTTGTGCCTATTATCCTTGGTTACGACCGTATACCTCTCACAAGCTAGACCCTCACTCTTTTCGATGTATTTTCCTTGGTTACTCTCTTACGCAAAGCGCGTATCTTTGTCTCCATCAAGCTACGGGTCGCATATACACGTCCAGACATGTGACCTTTGTAGAATCCGACTTCCCTTTTATAACACCACCAAAACCAAACCCTTCACCCGTAGAAACTCATGCCACCTTTCCTCCTGCAAACTTTATTCCGATACAGCAGCCACCACTCGTACACTCGCTTGCAACAGCTCCCCCAGCTCAGGAACTTCACCAACATACATCTCCGACAACGACTGCACCTGCAGCAACGAGTCAAGGTACGGGTACTGGACAGGGTTCAGCAGAGATATTGACTGCAACAGATACGACCCAGCCACAAACACAAACCAATGAACCACAAATACTCAACCCTGGATCACAACAAACCACCACCGATGCTTAGCCTGTTTCACAAAACACTTCACTCCCACTCCAAACATCCATCCTATGAGAACTCGTTCCAAAAATCAAATCTCCAAACCTAGTAAAAAGCTCACCCTTGTAGCCACAAAGACCAAACCTGACATCCAAATCCCAACCACAATCCACCAGGCTATCCGAGATGAGAATTGGCGTCGTTCCATAAGCGTAGAATACGATGCTCAAATCGCAAATCAGACTTTCGAATTGGTCCCTCCTGCGCCACATCAAAATGTCATTGGTTCAAAATGGATTCATACTCTTAAATATCTGGCTAATGGTGAACTTGGCAGGTACAAATCAAGGTGGGTCGCACGAGGCTACAACCAGGAGTATGGCGTAGACTACGAAGAAACCTTTAGCCCCGTCGTCAAGTCTGTCACCATCCGTCTAGTCTTACATCTTGCGGTGACCAGATCATGGCCTCTCAAGCAACTTGATGTCAACAATGCCTTTCTACATGGAACTATAAAAGAAGAAGTGTACGTTTCTCAACCCCCAGGTTTTGTTGATCGAGACAGGCCGCATCATGTCTGCCGCTTGAAGAAAGCTTTATACGGTCTTAAACAAGCACCTAGAGCTTGGTACCAAGAACTCAAGACGTTTCTCCTCCAAATGGGATGTCACAATTCGATGGCAGATACTTCAGTTTTCATATACCTGCACGGCACTCAAGTCCTCTACATCTTGATTTATGTCGATGACATAATCATCACCGGCAGCACCATCTCCATCGTCAATGCATGCATCAACGTACTAGCATCGCGTTTCTCTCTAAAGGAACCTCAAGACCTACACTACTTCCTTGGCATCGAGGTTACGCGTACACATCGGGGACTTCACATGATGCAGCAGAGGTACATTGTTGACTTGCTCACTAAACTTCATATGCTAGACGCGAAACCAGTCTCCACGCCGCAAGCCACCACGATTAGGCTATCGCTGCATTCGGGTACTCCACTCGACGATCCTAAGGAGTATAGGATGGTGATCGGTAGTCTCCAATACCTGTCATACACTCGCCCCGACATTGCCTACAGTGTTAATAGGTTGTCGCAGTTTATGCATCTCCCCACGGATGTTCATTGGCAAGCAGCGAAGCGTATACTCCGGTACCTCGCCGGGACTCTAACACATGGGATCTTCATTACTTCCAGCTCTCCTATCCATCTCCACGCCTTTTCTGATGCGGACTGGGCCGGTGACACCGATGATTTTGTGTCTACTAATGCCTATATTGTTTACCTAGGCAAGACACCTATTGCGTGGTCCTCAAGGAAACAAACCGGGGTTGCGCGATCTTCTACAGAAGCAAAGTACCGCTCTGTTGCCAATACCGCCTCGGAACTGTGCGGAATCTTCTCGCTATTACAGGAACTTGGAGTACAGATGCCCTCCACTCCTACGGTGTACTGTGATAATGTAGGGGCAACGTACCTCAGCGCCAACCTAGTTTTCCACTCGAAGATGAAACACCTGGCACTTGACTTCCATTTTGTTCGTGATAACGTTCAGTCCGGTGCACTTCGCGTGCAACATGTCTCCACGCGTGATCAATTAGCAGACGCTTTGACAAAACCATTGCCTAGACCACGGTTCAATGAGCTTATGTCCAAGATTGGAGTGATCAAACTCCCTCCATCTTGAGGGAGGGTGTAGAGAATGTGTATATAAGGGTTTTTTAGTCATTGTATTATACCTAATACGGTTTTGTACCTTGTATATATATATCGTACCATACAGAATAATAAAATTAGTTCAGTCAATACTCTTATATCTTTGGGCATTATATAAGTGTATAGGTAAACCTCCACTCTTGAACTAACTTTTGGGTGTGAGTTAGGCCCATCACTAATATGGTATTAGAACCCATGGTTTGGTCCAGCATTATGATTTCCCATATAAACAGTTTCCTACCTATGTAGCCTGTAAAAGTGGCCCATATGCGGTGGTATTTCCGAGATGTTGGGCTTGGGCTGTTTCCCTATGCACCGTTTCCCACCCACATCTCGAGGGGGCCTATTAGAGTCCCACATCGTGTATTCATGATGTCTTTGGGCATTATATAAATGTATAGAAACCTCCACTCTTGAGCTAGTTTTTGGGTATGAGTTAGTCCCATCTCTAATAATAATAGGAAAAAAGGATGATGATCTCTCAGTTCTTCGTTTTATCTCAGCGAGGAGATAACATCGTCTTCCACGACTTTAACCTCTCTGCTTCTTCCTGTTCTGTTTTTTTTTCTTCTCGAGACTTTTTTTTCTCACTGTTTCGAGTTTTGTTACCGCTGAAGCTGCTCTATGCTCATGATTTGTTTTGATCTACCAGCATTTCTCATGGTTGTACGATCATTAGATATCTAAAACTCGTTGGTCTTTAAAAGTTAACTTCTTTCGTGTTGCTGAAGAAAACCCACTTAGATATTTTTATTGTATTTACTAGAAGAACCCTTGTTTGTTTTTGAGCACATGCGATTTGATTTGGTGTATCTGTTCAACTAGAAGTTTGAAGATGATGTGTAACGTTTTCATTTGCTACAGACCGAGCTGAGGTTCCCAAAGGCAGTACAGAGACATTCTTCCGTAAAAGTCAAATTCTGGAAGGAGGATGGTAATGTAGAGGCACCACCTATCTTTGTAGGTATATCACCATCATGCTGCTTGAAGGTTGTGGCCATGCTAGAGAAACTTAACAAGGTAAAGTGAGGCTGGAGCAGAAGAAAAAAAAGAAGGTTCAAATCCTTCCACAACTATTTCTTAAAGAAGGTAATGGTGCTGACTATATCATGCTGGAATTGTACGGTTTCTCCTCTCTGGTTCCATTCATCAAACCGAGTGTTACAATAAATTTTATAAAGAGTAGTTTCATTGAGTCAAAAGATCTTCACTACTGTGTCTAATAAGCTCTGCAACTTTATATACTAAAGGTTGATAAATCTTATAGAAACGGCATGCATAGACAAGGCCAATAAATCAGGACAGGAAGTTCGGAAGTTTATAGTTACAAACCATGACACAGATTAAATCGTGAGTAATCATCAACCAGAGTGAAAAGCCATCAACCAATAAACACATTTCAGATTTCTAGAAAAGCAGCAATAATGAAGCCGAAGTGAGACAATTGAAAATATTAATGTTAACACATTTCAGACTGATGCAAGAAATCTCTTAAACAGGAGGGGAAATATCTTTCCGTAAATCTCTTTAGGTGGGATAAAGAGAGAAACAGAGGGGCTGATGAGCAACAAACAATGTAAGAGTCTCAGAGTAGATATCTCTAGCTCCCATCAACAACCAAGCAAGGTAAAACATTAAGAACAAAGAAAAAGAAAGAAAAAAAGAAAAGAAAGAAGATTACACAATGGGAGCAAACCAGAATTTAGGGGATTGGAAGCGGTCCAAAGGGAAATGATGGATGGTGCCGGTGGCAATGTCATAAACACCGGCATTAGGGCCGGACCCGAGGGCAACAAAGTAGATAGAATTAGGCCTAAGGCCCGGGTACATAGTGGAGGAGAGACAGAAAGCTTCATTGTTTCCAACAAAGATGCAGAGGTCACCAATGTCTTCCGTGTAGCTCATCTCCGAATTCGATTGCTTAAACACCGTGAAGCGTTTGGCATTGTGGGCAAGACGGTGGTAAGTCAAAGCTAGTTCTCTTTCATGGGAGGTCTGGAAGTAGCTGTGGTGGTGGGCATCATCAAGTTAAATAGTCAGTAAAGACACGGTTAAGAAAAAAACAAAACAAAGAAGAATCTAACCCGGTAACATGGAAGAATTCACATTCGTGGGAAGGTGACTCCACCAAGTAATGGGTTGTGAAACATGAGAGCATCATTTGGGCGAGTGAGTGAGTGAAATCCGATTAATTAGACAGACGGAGCGGGGTTAACCAAGAATTGTTGTAGTTGGTGGTAACAGGAGGGTAAGTGTGTAGATCCCAAGCGGCCAAATAGTGACTTCCCTGAGTCGTCATACAAAACTTCCGGTGCCTATTGGAGTAGACCATGCTGGAGGTGTCAAATTGGTTAGCACGCAAATAGACATGGGTCCATTTGGCTTCCTCCCCAAGAGCAGGCCTGCAGAAACTGAAACGAGGTCCAAGAAACTTCACAGCCATGATGCAGTCATCATCATCCTCAGGGGAGGAAGAAGAGAGAGACACGTTCAAGATACTCTCACTATCACAACAAGGCAAGGAAGGAAGGCGTGTGTATAGGTGGTTGTCACAGTCTACCACCTTCTTTGTAAGAAGAAGTATAGGAAGGGATTCATTGTCTGGTCCTTTTGTAAGAAGAGCTAACCATCCACGGGAGGATCCTATAGGTTGTGATCCCAAGAGTTCTTCAGAGGATTCAACCTGGTTTGGCAAAGTGACCGTCTCCTCCTTCCTCGGGTCGAATAGTTTGGTATCTACCACCCTGCCAGCCAGATCCCACTCTGTATCGCCATAGATCAATGACACAGTCTCCTCGTTAAGGTATAGATACGGAGTCTGGGCTATTTGGCTCGACAACAACCGCTCAAGAAGACCACCTGGCCTCCTCCTTGGAAGCTTCTTCAGAATTCCGCTTTGAAACAGAGACAACAACCCCATCGCTTCTTCTCGTCCAAAAGTTCCCCTCACCAATACCTCTACTAGTCTTATATAACTCTTTTTTTTTTTCTTTTTTTTTTTTGTGTTTTATAGAATATGGATGGTGTGAACCATTTTATTTCTATGTCAAGGTTGTTGGTCTATACTTTGTTGCAACTACGAGGGTTAACGTGTCACCATCTCTTGTTCTGGAGCTTCTACAAAGAATCGCTCGTGTAATCAAGGATTACCTTGGTGTGTTGAATGAAGATTCATTCAGGATAAATTTCGTCCTGGTCTATGAGAAGTCATTGTAAGTCTCATCATTAGAAAGTATATTACTGTAAATCTGACTATGTGTATAATCCAAATCCTATCCTCTTTTTGATTAGGATTTTGGTTACGTGCAAACTACATCAACGGAGGTTTTAATGTATTCAACGAGCCAATTGTTATTGCTCCTGCACGTCTTCAACCTATCGATCCTGCTGCCATCTTCACAGTAAAAAAAAATTTTTCCTCCTTATGGGTCTATGTGTCTGACCCTCTTGGATTAATGATATGCAGCAAGGAGGCAAAAGTATGCCTGGAACAGCAGTTACAAAATCAGTTGTAGCTAATGATCCTGGTGGTCGGAGAAGAGAGGAAATCTTTGTGGACATCATCGAGAAAACCAGTGTTACTTTCAGTTCAAGCGTGAGTAGTTACAGTCTCTATCTATCTTACCACATCAGTGCTATGTATTATGTCCTAATTATATGTAGTTACATCTTCATTGATGTCAGTTTTCTTCCTAGAAATTATTTATATTTTTTTTTCTGATTTGTGAAACAGGGTTATATCCTGACTTCTGAGATTAATGGCACCATTCAAATGAAGAGTTATCTTTCTGGTAATCCGGAAATTCGTTTAGCTTTTAGTGAAGACCTAAACATAGGAAGAGGAGCAGTATCCGTATATGGTATGTTCTTATTTTCACCCCTTTGAATCATCATTGTTATTTCCATAAGGAATCTACGTTCATGTTCTATTGAAGTGTAACTTCGTTCTTTTGTTGCAGATTATAGGAGTTCTTCAGGTTCAGGGGTGATACTTGATGACTGCAACTTTCATGAGTCTGTTCGTCTTGATAACTTCAATTCAGATAGAACTTTGTCCCTTGTGAGCTTCAACATTTTTTACCAAAGATAACATCTTTGTCATAACATGTTGTTTTACACTTTTTAACTCCTGTTCTGTTTTGCAGGTTCCACCAGATGGTGAGTTTCCAGTGATTTTGTATGGCTGTGCTTACCGTTAGCTAATTTTGGTGTTTCAGATTGTTGGCGGGGCTGAGCATACACTGCGTGCCAAGATGACATTTTCTCAGAAATTTCATGGGGAACCTCTTAAGACTAATAGTATTCCTTATTTCTCTATTAGAGAAAGATGAGAGCATTACTGATAAAATTATCATTACGTTTTAGGTGATAGCACAAAGGAAGCTGGGCCTGTCAGCATGACGTTCACGATACCCATGTACATTGTTTCTAAACTTCAAGTAAGTAAAATGTTGACTGTTCTCTTCTTGTATTTACCATTAATCGTTCTCTTCAGTCACATGTTTGTAATAAATTGTGTGAGACAGGTGAAATACTTGCAGATAGCAAAGAAATCAAGTAGTTACAATCCATATCGTTGGGTTAGATATGTGACACAGGCCAATTCCTACTTTGCTCGGTTATGACCTGTTTCATATAAATGTTTGTCACTTTGTATGTCCAAGTACTCTCTCTTTTCTTTTGAGAAGATGCTTCACAGTACCTGTCGAATCTTGTCTCTTCTATCTTACTTTTCTTTATATATCTTTTAGTTTTGGTATACATCATAGACTTTATTTTGTTGTCTCCCCTGATGTCTTCTTGTAAAGGAATCAGTTGAACTGAATCCAAGATTCTAATTTCTAAGTTATGCAAATTGATAAAAAAAAAAATGAAATGTTAAATGTTTTAATACAGCTTGTGTACGCAATTAGATTAGCTTAATTTGTTGGCCATTACCAAAAAAAAATTAAAACAACAAACTTATTAACAAAAGTATACATTTTCATGGGCAAAAATCTCTCTTCCCCACTGTACACTACTACTATATATACCATTCCTCAGTGACCACTTTGTTCTACTACTACATAAATTGGTCCAGTGCACAAAAGACCATCCTTGCCGTTACCTTTCTCTTCCCAAGGGCAAGCGATGTCTCGAGTTTTCGTGATTTTCTTGAGAAGAAAGACTCGAGTCCCTTAGCCGCGAATGCCTTGTGAAAGGAGGAGAAGAAGAGGAAGAAGATGATGTTGGAGAGGAAGCCCGTCTTTGATGATCTCCATAAATGAAATCAGCAAAGTCGTCCATGCTTGTACTTTCTGTGCTACAAGAGCATTCATCTGAGGTGTTGTCAAAGAGAGAAGAACAGTCACTCGACGAGTCCTCTTCCAAAATTCTCTGCAGCCTCTGGAAGCTGGAGTAAAACGACTGTATATTGCCAGGTCGATCACCACCATGAGTGTTGGAAGACAAAACAGGACTTGCAGTAGACACAGACCGAGAAACAGTAGTCTTAGGTACCGATTTGTTACATACTACTAATCTTGGTGGCGTTGGAGAACACCTGTAGCCAGTTCATTTGAATATATTGTAACATAAGTAACCAGATCGAACATAGTCCACAATCTTAAATAGACTCTGAGACGTATTAGTATAAATATTATTTACCTTGCGTAGAACAACATATATGCTCCCTTTGATAACACCCTTTCAACATCATAAGTTACAACCTGAAGATAAACAATGCACACAAAAATAAACTCGGAAATTTTATTAAAATGTACAACATTAAAATGTATGATTGATAATATATGAGCAACGTACCGTGTTATCATCAGCATTGTACCACTTGTTTTGACTGTTTCTAACATAGCACACATAGTGACCAGAAACTGTTGTATTCATTGTATCCAAGTGAACAATAACTCCATAGAGTTTGTAGTCATGTGATTTTTCACTTCCACCGCTGACATATGGAGCCAAATCTAGAGTCTCTGGAAACTTGATCAACTTATTTAGCTTCCCGAATTTCCCTGACTGCAAGAAGTATCCTGAAACTGTGAGCAAACACAAAAAGAAAAACACATATAGGTTCAATAGAACAAACCGTGTCTCCACTGAAGATATTATTTACCTGGAATCGTTTTAGAGCAATCGTAAGGACATTCGGAGGCTCTGTGATTCTCAATTTCTTTTTGGCTCTCTCATAGGAGTCACACCTGCCCACACAAAGAAAAAAGTTAGCATCAATCAGCTTTTAGATGTAAACCTCACAGTTGATTGGTTCTAACTTCTAGCTAGGCAAATAAACGACCATAACAGTACTACATATAGTTTTGTCTTGATAGCCTCAGGAAACTGTATTTCAGCTCACCATAATGTCTAGGTACTGTAACTGAAATACATGAAAGGGCTAAATCAGTTGCTATCCTACTCAACCCAGAACCATATATACAGCTCATGAAAGGACTCTAATCATCCACAAAACAATGAAAAGAGTCACGGAAATATCAAACGACCACAACAAGTTCAAACATGGAAAGGAAACCAACCTGCCACATTTGTATTTGTTTTCTCCATCCAATATTTCAGTCCTTGTAAACCGACGCAAAGCATCCTCCAAAGTGCTAATATCCCCATCAATCTCAACCGTTAGATCCATTATTCTCTCACGCCGCTCAGATTTTTCTTGACATTTCATGCATTTAATCTGGCAGACATCATAATCGTTTCAAAAGAAAAGCAAACAATCAGCATTACTAGTCGCTCCAAAACAAAGTATGATAATTCCAATGGAAATGTAATAGTTAAGAGCACCTTTGATCGGAGGTATCCCCCGAATGTCAAACCAATTAGAGTTGTATCTTCTAATTTATTAGTCTTTGGCATATCGTATTCAGATGCCTTAATGCACACAGACTGCATTGTGTCGACAACAAACCTGCAAAAGGCAAGAAAAGAAATGGCATGGAAAATGAAATCACACCAAGATTCTTCCCGTTGTAATATAGATATATGCATCAGAGTTTCTTTTGTTGCAGAAATGGTAGTTCACCTAAGGAATTCATGTGCATCTTCTTGCTTGCCATTCCCAAGACGGATTCCAATATTCTGCAGATGTAATAGCAACCCATTAGGGGACAGTGGAGACTTCCCTTCTCTTGCCTTTAAGACCAGCTTCTCAAACTCACAGGTGAAGCACTGTTCTTTGTTTGGACCTAACATTAAAATGAACCATTAAGAGCTTGATATACTAATGATAACGAAACATAGAATAAGCAGCATAGATCATATAGATCTAAAAAAAGGAACACAGGACCACACACATGTTCTGGAATGGAGTTGTTGGAGGAAGTATGTGGTCAGAGGAGCAGTGAACATCAGGCATTGGAAGACCACATTAGCAAAGCAGCTGCAAGAAAAGGAGAACTTTATTGCATCAGCCCTTGTGAGCTACAAATTATAGTTTTTTATAACAGCCATGACAAAACATACACAAAGCATAATTCACAAGTTAGAAAGACTTTGAGAAGAGAAGCTGGGGTTACCTATTGCCACAATTGATGAGGCCACAAGGCTGGAACTCAATTTTATTCGTATACAGTTTAGAAAATTGTTCATATGAAAAGAGCCCCTGCATAACACAAACAAATTGATAAGAATAAATAGCTGTGCTGATTAGTTGATGTAGGAGGCAAGTGTTGCAGAATGATGACCTTACGACCATGTCTTCCTGCTATCTCATTCTCAGCTAATGACTTCGGTCTATTCCACTGGTCTACAACTTTTAGTACTGATGCCTTCAAACCACTTCTTCCATTTAGAGAATTCATACGGTGAACAGCAACATCATTATGTTTCTGATGGTCAAGAACTCTTCCAGATTTTGCACCTAAAGCAGAATGTTTAATATCATCAGCACATTCCCTAGTATCTGAGGCCTTGGATGACAATATTTGGACTTCCCCAACCTTCAGAGGGGCCAAAATACAGCCACTTCCAGTACGAGTGCTCTTTGACTTCTTAAGTGTCACAGTGGACAAAACAGTAGGGTTCAAAGGACTGGACGCATCAGGAAGAGAGGAACTTGGTAATGAAACCTCAGCTTCATCAGATCTTTTAGCAGTTCTTTCTCTGAAATTCACCTCAACAGAATTTTTATGAGTCCCTAATGCAGCCTTAGTAGTTTCTTCTGCATTTTTATTCCTATGATCAAAAACTTTAGCAGCTGAGATGTCCCTTGAGGAGCCAAATGAAAAATGCAGAGAGGACTTACCAAGTTCACCAGATTTAGAACTATCACAATTCTCAATTACACGTTCTATTGATCCAAGAGCAGTACCCCAAAAATCAGATGACTTCAGAAGAGGCAGGTCAGCTGATCGTTGATGCCTATCCGTACCTACTGAGACTAAGGTACTTGACTGGCTCGGAGCATCACCCCCAGGTTTATGCAGACTCAACGTAGGCAAATTAGCCATGTCATTTGCAGACTCAACCAATTGCACAAATTTAGGGGACAACGGTTTAGTTGGAACATCATCAATATTGCTGAGACAGGTCTCCTCCAACTCTACAGATACATGAGTATCACGTGGACGCTCTGATATCTCGGAATCAGATGAACTGAAGCTCTCACACAAAGAAATATCATCACTAGAGTCATTACGAGGGGAAGAAGAGAAGCCAGAAAACGAGGATCCAGATGTTTCAGCAACAGAAACAGCCTCTTCCTTATCCATAAGATCATCTTTGTTATCTACACTTTCTCCACCCCCATCTTCAGGAGATATGACAGGATTAGAGAGTATTGCTTCCCTGACTGGTTCCGAATCCAGCAATGCAGTTTCATCAGGAATAAGCCCTCCACTTACTTCTCTGAACTTCAAATCACAGTCACTTTTCTCATCATCAGTATTATATAAGATAGTAGCAGGTTGACATTCATCTTTGTGACCTTGCCGCCAGTGGATAATTTGACATTTCCCGGAACTGAATATATAAAAAAAGATAGCAAACAAAGTTTTAGACGTAATAAACAACACTAAGACATACATGTATGTAACATTGTTACAAGTACTACACTTTCTCCAATTAATTACGCATTATATTATCTAGACATAGAAAAAGGAAGACACTTTACTTAAAGATAAGAGATGCACTTTGAGTACTTCTAAAGTTAACAAAAAAAAACTACAAATCATTCTTCCCTTCTAACTACTCCAATTCACCAGAGAATGAAACGCAAAAATCAAAACTTTATCTGAATCTGAACATCGAAAAAGGGCTCAACACAAAGTGCATACCAATACCGAACGGCTTTGCAGCGAGAGCATCTAGTAGAGGCAGGAGAATAGCAAATGGGACACTGAAAGCTATTAGAGACGTAAACAGAAGAGAACTCAACGGAGGCTGCTTCTAGTTCAGCCCTAGCATCTTCCTCTGAGGCATGAATAAGAAGTCTCTGAATCTCCTCTCTTCTAAGAACAGCTAGCCTCCATTTACGCCGTATAGCAAAGAAGACGAGGAGAGGTAGAACAAGAGATATCAAAAGGAATAGACTTGAAACCCCGAGATCCAAAACTAGGAGCATTTACACACAATCAGACCCCACAAACCATAGGTTGAATTAGCCGGAAAGGAAGTTACTTTGAGGATCAGTAAGCATAACCCACAAAATATTCAAACGAATAAAGAAAACCCTCGAGAGCCCAAATTGATTGAGAATGTAAAGGTCTGGTCTTTCTGGGGTTAGGGTTTCGAAGGAAGATAGAAAAGTGATGAATTGAGATTCTTGGGTAGAAGGAGGAAGAAATTAGCAAGAATATCACTTTTTTTCTATTACCAGAAATTGTTTATTTTTTCTTTTTTTCTTTTTACCGCCAACAGAAATTGTTTTTATTATTTTAATAATGTGACGTCAAGACCAGGAAGTCTATTAATTTATGTAGACAAATGTTTTCAGGTCATGATTTCACAATTTTATAATTGATAAAATTAAAAGTTCAACGATGGTAATGGTTTTTAAATATGGTTGCCGGTTACTTTCACGTATATGGAAGGGTGAAAACCCTTTATACTTATCTTCTTGCTTACCAAAGAAAGATAAAACTTATCTTCTTACCATTTCTCAGCTTTAGAAATTAGGAAGACAATTAAGGCCTAGATCAGATGATACAGTATTAGCGGTATACTGTAAAAGCTGTATGTTTTCACTAAAATTTTAAACAATATGAAATATACCATTTTAAAAATATCATAAAATTAATATATATATATATATATATATATATATATTTTTTTAAATAATATATATATCTATAATATATATTAATAATTTGTTTCTTACTACAAATAAAATAAATTGTTCATTTTCTAAATTATATTATATTTTATATTTGAAATATTATTATTTACAAAAAATACTATTTATGTTAAATCATTAAATGTATTTGGATATAACATAATTTTTAATATTATAAAATAAGTTAATTATAATTTATATATTAATTAGTATTATTATTTATTTATTGGTAAAGTAATAAATGATTCATTTATAAAACTATCATAAAAATTAATATATATATATATATATAATTTATTTATTTGTGTCTAAATAATATATATATATATGTTTCATTTATAAATAAATATATATTATTTTATGTTTATTATTAAAAATAATGATAGAAATGAGAAATTATATAAATTATATTATTTAAATGTGAAATATTATTTTTTAAAGTTGAAAATATTTAACTACAATTTTTATTTTTTTAAATATAAATATATATATATATAATTATTTTGTAATTTTTACATATTCTAATTGCAAATACTTTCCTAAAAACTCCATATGAAAACATTAAACCTAAAGCATTTAGAAAACATTTGCATTTAATAAATGCTTTTCAAAATGTTTCTCTAATAAATATTGATTGAATAATAAATAATATAATGCTTATGTTAATCTTCTGTCAATCAAGACCTAACCATGGAATGAATTATCTTTCTCTTAAGACCTACAACCCGCGTGTAGCCGTAGAAAATATTGGTTTTACCTCCCAATTTTTTCTAAAGATTATATACTGTACATATATATATATAGACTTCTTTTATTGTCCAAAAAGTTTTACATAGACCTCTAAAATAAAAATTACTAAAAATATTTATAACCTCTAGAATATCAAATCTAGCCTTGCATATGACACTACCACTAGTGCAGTGCAACACTCTAAAACTAGCTCATATAAACAACGTTGGTTAAGAGCACCCTCAACGCAGATGCTTGAGGAGGTGCTAAAATATGGACCCCACCAGAATAGAAGAAGATGCGGAGCTAAAATGGCCAGATTAAGCGCTGGAGCTTGCACTATTTCGCAGGCCCCACTGACACTTGGCGTCCCACGATTGATTGCTTTTTAATTTTTTTTTCTAATCAGATAAACAAAAAAATTTAAAAAGAAAATTAAAAATAAGCACTCCTCCTAGCTCCCATGCATTGATCATGCTCTTAGGATCTATAGATGCACATGTTTGTCGGATGAAAGAAGGATGGTCATATGATGTGAAGCTAAACACTTTCTCAAGTTACAGTCATGCATGAAGAACCAAAAAGGATGCTCACATTAGAAAATTATACGAACATAAGTGCATAAATAAAACAAACACATTATTTCTAACAATCAATTAATTAGCATGACAATAGGTTTGATTAAGTGCTCCTGTACAAAGGGTTTGTTCCAACGGTTTGTATGCAAAGGAGCTTTCACTGTTGTTACCTTGGAGCAAGTCTAGAAGCTTCTTGGTGATTGTTGATATCATTCTTTTATTCTTTTAAGATGATGATTACTAGCATTGATACAAAATGGTATTGATTTAATGGAGTATATGTTTCTGTTCAAGCATTGTTGTTACATACAAATTCAAATTTTTCTTTTTGTTTCTATACTGATGTCTGAGAGTCACTACCAAAATAACAGATCGAACGTACAGTCAAGGACACACACAAAAGTGTAGTTTATTTGGTCTTTGAAGCAAGATAAGAGATTATGGAGAAAAAAAATAATGAATAGGAATGTAAATGGAGTTAAATGGTGTCTGTACATGTGGTGAAGTTGGGGGTTATTAGCCAGCTCCTCTAATAAAATGATCATCTGGACAAGGTCCTCGGTGTATTGCTGGGTCCAGAACCTCCTCTGCTTCTGTCCCCACTGTTGTCGGATCTTCCTCTGTCAAGAACATGCGGGCTATGGACTTTGCTGCTGTCTGAATCCTCCTGGTTCTGGTTTGACGCTGTTCCTCTTTCAGTTTCTTGGTTTTGCTCCGTGGAAGATGGACTTGGTTGCCCTGAGCCTTTTCCTTTGTCCATGTTTGAGAGCTCGTTAGCTATCTGACTCCTTCTCTCTTTCAGGAAGTTGAGCCGCATTGATAATTTGGATAGTGCAGAAGTTGTTGTTGTGTTTCCCTGTTTTGTTTTTGTACCCAACTCCTAACGTTATTTGGTTAAAAAAACTTAATGGTTATGTTTTTCTTGTTGTTGTTACTTACCTCTCCTTTTGTGCCAGACCTCTTAGACGTGCCTGCAAGCTTTGAGCTTTTGCTCCGTGGATCTTGTATCTTCTCTATCTCATTTTCTCTTCCAGACCCTCCTTGCCCATCCTGCAATAAATGTTACTGATCTGTAATGAATAAACTAGATTTTGACCCGCGCTTGAAAAACGTGGAAATTTTTTATGATTAAAAATTTATATAATTGAGTTTTGTCTTAATTTAAAGAATATTTTGATATAAAATCAGTTCACCAAAATTTGTGATGATGATTGTTTTTCATTAGTTTTTAGTTTTAGTTTTTATTTTCTGATTTTGGTTTTTGGTTTTTGATTTTTAAGTTTCTACTTTTCATTTTCAGTTTTTGGTTTGAGTTTTTAATTTTTAAACCTGTTGAGTTAGTTTGAACTAATATTACCAACAAACAAATGTCAAATAATTGAACATCTAATTTAAAACTGAAAAGATTGACAACAATTTTTTTTAAAAAATTTGAAATAGTTTATTTTGTAAATAATCAAAGCAAAAAATATAACATGTGTTTTCAGCTTTTGGTTTTGGATTTTAGTTTTTAGATATGGTTTTTGGTTTTGCTTTACATTTTTTTAATCAGTAAATTATTTAAGAAAAATAAAACAATAAATTATTTAAAAGTTACCATTGAAATTTATCAAAACTAAGTGATTGTTATTTAAAATAAAAAATGTATTAACATGTTTTAAAGTACATGATTTAAATAAATGATTAATAATAGATAATTTTATTTTGTTAAAAATATTAAATATCTTTTGGGTCTGAAAATAATAATTGATTTTTTGATCTTTTAAGGTGAAAAGTTTATTCAATGTTTTTGGAGTTTTTTTCTGAAAACTAAGCCCAAAAAGCAAAATATATAATTTGTTCAAAAAATAAAAGTAAGCCCAAGACTATATTTCATAAATAACCACTGGTTTAACTTAAGTATAATTAGTAGATTTTCATATTCCATATTTTGATGATATATATTCTTTTAGAACATTCCATATTTGTAGGAGAAAATATGTGTCTGTCGTATTTTGAAGGTAGTTTACATTAAGGTCATCTCTTTATATTAATTGTGTTGGTTTAATTTAAGTAATACGGTTCAATCAATTACATGACTTATATTATTTGTAACATTCTAAAAAGGGTCCAAATTTCAATGACATCAGTAGATAAAAAGAATGATTCTATTTTAATAGAGTAGATACATAGGAAGAAGAAACAAACTTGTAAGAGAGTGTGTTTACCTTGAGCATTGACCTTTCGGAAACGTTAGGAGAGGCTGCTTCAGTATCCTTTTGTTTCTCCTTCCTGTGCCACAGAGTTGAAAGAAAAATTGTTAATAAAGTTTGATATGATTTAAAAGCAAAGATTGATGAATCTTTACATCTTTGCATTGTGCTCTGGACTTCTCCTAGATTCTTTGCTGGCACCCTGCGGTGATGAACCAGAGCCTTTAAAGTCTTGTTCACCAAGTCTATTCTCAAAATCATCAACCTTATGTTCCAAGTTGACAATATCAGCCTCCGCTTGAGCTACTTCTTGTAGATCTTTCTTCAACTGTGTAACAAAAAACATGTCTTTCAAGAGGAATATGTAATTTAAAAAAACAAGCAAAATTCAACAAACCTTTTCATCAGTTGTTTCTGGAAGAAGTTGATTCCCTTTAGACATGTTCAGTCCTGATTCAAGAGCTGATCTCCTGTCTATCTCTTTCTGCAACTGTTCTTGTAGTCTTTCCACCTTAGAGGAAGAAGGTAAACCACATTCATATAACTCAAACAACTAGTAACATCTAATAGCTAGAATATGGTTTTTGTTATATAAGCTTTACATCGTTCTCTAGAGCTTGGCGCCTCACATACAAAGCCTTCTTCCGTCTCTCCAAACTAGCCTGTAGAACTGCATTGTTTTTAACCTATTCCAGTATAAAAAAATGAAAGTTGTTACAGGTCACACACCAGTTTGCAAAAGCAATAATTACACACTCAAATAGACTTATCCTTACTTCATCTGCAATTCTGTTTTGTAGCTCTGATTTGGTTGATTCAAGTCTTTCAATGTCAGCACTGCAGAATATAAAACCAAGTACAAAGTTTCTAACAAGCTCTCCTTTTGAGTATTGAATTTAAACAAAGATGTTAGTCACTAGTCACAGATGATGATACTTACTCATCCTCGTCCACCTCTAGTGTGAAATCAATAGATTCCATAGAAAGGTTCTTCCTCCCCTAAGGCACATTAAAAATATAAAGTGTTACTATCCCTTAAGGTCCTTGGTGTTACATGAAGAAGGAAAAAGAAACTTACATGAGCACGGCCCCATAGCCTTTTACTTCCTCCTGGTGCACTGGATAATGTAGATGAGTTCTTATCTTCAATTTTCAACATCTCTAACACATCCATAACCACTTTATTATCATAACCTTTAACCAAAACATTCTCATCTTTTTTTGCACCATCATGCCTTGGTAGTGAAGACCGTTTAGAGCTTGATAAAAGCTTCTTAGTAACTTGTGGCTCCGTACTACTTCCTTTTGGGGTAGATTCAGAGCTTGTAATCTCAGTTATCTACAACATGTAACAAAATAAAAATATCTATATATTCTTGCAAACACAATATAGCCAAGTAAAGATGGAGTGAGGATTAGTTATTGAAACCTTAATAGTGTACTGTGCTTTATTATGGTCATCAGGATCAAACTCATGGGGAGTGTTGCCTGAGGCTTCACTCTCACTGTATGATCTATCAGATTCATTTTCAAGATCCTCTTCCTCCTCATCTGTGTAGTCTTCAGATCCTTGTGTGCCTTCATAGTCTTCATCATCATAATCTTCATCATCTGTTCCTTCCTCAGTTCCACTACCACTCTCTTCTGAGTCAGAGTACAAACCAGCTGACAAAGAACCTTCCTGCAGACATAGACCATTGTTAGTCTCATAGACTTTGGTCATGTGACAAAAGAGTGGTTCAATCATAGTAAAAGCTTACACCAAAAATGCTGTCATATTCTTCTAACAATGTGATCACTATAGCCTGAGCATGATTGGCTGCAGCAGCTGCTTGCAGAAGTTGCATAGAACCATCACCACCCACATCAAAATCATTTTCAATGTTACAGTCTCCAGCTAAAAGAGGTCTTAGAAGTAAAGGTGCCATACAAGCTGCAACAGCATTTGTGTTCATCCGGTTCACATTTTTGTTAGCGGCCACTAGCTGCATCATCATCAGGATTCTTGCAAGAAGAAAAATAATAAACTCAATTAAAAAAACAAAATCTATTTTAGCTAAACGTGAAAACAGATGAGAGACTTACCTTTGCAATAGGCGTCTATTTGGTTCAGGGAATGATTCACAGATTGCTTCCCTCATAGCATTAACTCTATTGCCACGGATAGTACCTGATGATGTTACGTGTCAGAAAACTAGGAATAGTTCATCAAAGATGTCTCAGTGATGAACTTACGGCAAGCTTCCAGAAGAGCGTTGCAGCAAGACGCAGGCACTGGAGAGGAAGGCAACTCTCTAAGAAAATACTGCAAAATTCATGGATACAGTTAGAGATGCTTAAGATCAAAAGACTATAGCTCAGCATTGTAGTGATAAGTGGAAGTTACCTTAAGACAATCAGCAATAACATGAGCATCCTCTGTTGGAGTGAACTCATTTCTCCCTGAACCATGTGACTACAGATTAATATTAATTCACAATGCCAGAAATCAAGAAATGCAGAAACTCAAACCTTGCTCATATTCACGAATGCGATGTTCAACATCATCAACATCAGCAGCTTGTCTCAAGATTCCTTCTGTATTGACTCCTGCAAGATAAAGGTATTACTTAAATGTTCAATATGGCTAAAAAGATAAAGGAGTAAAGAAAGATGAAAGCATGAAAAGGATACCATGATCTTCAACAAATCTAAGTGCCTTTTCCAAGAAAGATGGAGTTCCATCAACATCTTCTAGAGCAAGTAAAACTGGTCTTCCAAGGACGGTAGGTCTTGCTGGTGCTGCCTCATCTCCTGTGAAAATAAATGCATCATTGTCATTTAAAGACACATGTTAATATTAATATTTGGATGTCACCGGTTATGCCCACATTCTTGTGACACATATTTATACATATGTATTTAAAGACTAAAGCCATTTGAAAATTTGACAAACATACTATGTTCATCAACACCAGCAGGGGCATCTGTTTGATCATTCCTGAAGATACCATTTTGACCCATTACATGAGAAGCACTAGGTGCTAGTGTCAAAGCGTGTTCTAGAGCAGCTTTCCATTCATGTAGATCCTCCATGGTGTCAGCCTGCAAAAAAATATCAAATAAAAAATGAGATGGATGCAACTGATAATAGCAAAGATTAAGGAGATAAAAAAAACAGAAATGGAAAGAAGAGTTTTGAAGGAACCTTGAGGGTAAAGGCACGTCCATCACGTCCATCAGGGAAGAGAACAGTTAACAGCTTTTTATCTGCCTTGACAACCACGCTAAACAAAAACAAAGTCTAAAGTTATATGATGTTAGGTATTTACATTATACACCACTTTAAAAACAAGGAATGATTCTAGACAATAAGCTAACCTGCCTGAATTGTTGAGATCAATTCCCCCAAGGGTTAAATTGACCTCACCTCCTCTCTGTTGTACTGCGCTCTGTAAATATTAAACAGAAAATAATAAATACTGAGATACCTATCCTAATATCCGTGTGAACCAAGTTAATAAAGAAAAATAAACTAAAAGATAAATTGGTGGATGGCACTCTCATATTCACAGAGAAACAGTGGGAGCTTTGTGACATTTGGTAATAGTTATTATAAAAAGTTAATTAGTCCTCTACTTCTCTAGAGAACAACAAAAAAGTAACATTTGGTTCAGAATATGAAAGCTTACAGGGTCACTTCGAAAGAAAACCAGTGAAGTACGCGTCAAAATAAACCATCTTTTCTTCCAAGATGTCCACCCAAGCCCTGTGTTACATAAAAAACTTGTGAAACTTATGAAACAAAGAGATACAAATTTGCAGTCTAGTTAGCTCAGAACCAATTAAGCGTCACCAAGAAACTCCTCTTTTGGTAAACATCCTAAGTAGCATAGGTTAAAAAGTGAAACAGAGAAGGAGGTAATATACTGATATAGCCTCCACAGTGAGCACATGATGTTATGTCCTTATAACTAGCTTACCGTAACATTAACATCTATCCCCAGCGGGAACTGGAAATGCTTACAGAAAACTCTCATCATAGAATTAATTAAGGCTATATGTACAAATAATAGTATCCTAATAAGAAGTAAACAAACCTTTTGAGGATATATATAGGGGTCCACTCTTGAATACCTACAAAAGTAAAGCCAGACTACATTAAGAAAAATCAAAGAGTTTAACATAAACAAGATACTATACTAATGATAAGGATTGTTTTCTTTTTTTCGTTTGCATTTACATGATTGTATATTGTGTGTTTACAATAAAAAGTGTATAAAACCGATCCACCTCGCAATGCTAATGTAATGATTATATGAATGCTCAAATGTATATACGAAAGTAATTACCGTGTTGCCACCACGGGAACGTGGGTCTGAGTTGCCAGACTGTGCTGGAGGAAAACTACAGGTGTCACCCTATGATCGCAAGATAAAAAAAAAAAAAGTATTGATCAATATGAGAAACATTGAGCATCTTCAAAAGGAGGACAAAATCACGTTTGATCGAAAAAAAAAAGAGAGAGAGAGAGACGCACATGACGTTCCTGGTCTTGTTCATTGGCATTTTGTTGTGGCTGAGCCTGAGGAGGCTGTGAAGAAGAAGAGTCTCCGTTTCTATTAGCCATAGCTTTGATACAACTCGAGTTTTCACGTCATTATGATGATGATGATAATTTCCGATTTGATCTGATCATAGGAAGCATAAGTTCGGGAAACAAAAACCTTGATTTTGATCTGGAGAATGAAGAAAGATAATAATAATAATTGTTAATTTTTTTAGGGTGGAGAGAGAGAAATTTTGATTGATGTGTTCAACGGTGTTTTGAGAGAGAAGAGGTAGGTGTAGCGAAAATGTTGGGCGTAAACAGAGGAGGAAGTCTTTTTTTTTTTAAACACAAAAAAAAACAGAGGAAGTCTTTTGTTTCCATCATTCGGCAGTTGTCCACGTCATCACCCCCCTTCCTTCTTGGAGGGAAAATATTACTCCTTTTATCTATCTTTTTGACCTCTTCTCTTCTCCAACCATTTCTCTGAAATAAAGCAAATACAAATACACATGTCCACTCTTCTAATTACTCTGTAACCTATAGCTTTTTTTTTTTGCTAACGCCTATTTTATATATACCTAGATAATATCAATGTCTCTAGCTATTTTATTATATAATTATTTGATTTTTAATCAGGAAAAAAAAGAAAAGAAATGACAACCTTAATACACCCTTGCATTGGTGTATCGTGCCGGCCACGACCATCCACCACTCTCTCTTTTTACTTTGTGTTAATGGTGACACCTTTGACTATATATATATATATATACAAATCTCTTGCATCTATTCGATAAAAGCTACGTGGCCCATTCATATTAAACAACTTATCATTTGGATAATGCTGCAGGTGCATGCATGGGACTTATCTTTCGTCTACTTTTTTTTATTTGTTTGAGGGTTGTTCCACTATATTATTCCATGCATTATAATCCTTTTTAATACTTTTGAGTGTCCGAGCTAACACTTATGTCTCTAATGGCCTTTGCTAGTAGGGAAGGATTATGATGGATCTCAAGAACCAGATGGGATACACCACAAACTTTGTTATGCATAATTTAATGTCTCAACCTGTTAAGAGTTGCGGGGAATGTCATCTCCTTCGTTGGGTCCTAGTTTTTGTGATCACTCTTTGGAGTGCATATATGAGCTTGACAAAAAAAGAGAATACTATCTAATCTATTAAACAGAGTCCTATTTTTATCTATCTATAAATAGTCTAGGTTAGTCCTTTAATTTATGTAATTTTAATATTTTGTATATAATAAACTTAATTATTATTAAATATACATAATCTTAATATGTTACTAGAGATTGACCCGCACGTTCGTGTGGATATTTTTTTATTTTATAAATGTATAACTTTAATATTATAATAAACATTTTAAATATAAATTTTACACAATTCAATGTAATATATGCTAATTTGTTTTATATATAATTTATTTTTTATTAATTATTCTTAAATAGTTAAAATAAATAAAATTAAAATAATAATATAGTTGTAGATATAAAAGTTTAAGATATATTAAAAAATTTATTTTTGTATACGAATATTATATTGTTTACGAAATTTAACAGTTTTAATGGTGAATGATATTTTATTTATTTAATTGAAGCACTCTTTTAGAAATATATAATTTAATTTACTAATTTAATATAAATATTTTATATTTAATTCATACAGTTCTTTTGTTTTAATATAATGTATTGTATAACTATAAAATTTATAAAACACAGCATTGACTTTTTATTTTATTTTATGATAACATTTTTATTAACATTAATTTATAATATATTATATTACGAATTACAAAATTAATTACTGCAATATTTAGTTTAATTTTTTTTTTTGAAATTTGTAACAATATCATATTTTTTTCAATAGATTTAGCTATAACTAAAAAATAAAAAATAAAAAATTGAAGGCAAAATTGATTTACTATTAATATCTTTCTAAATTATTAATATTTTTATTTTTATATATTTGAATAATTAATATAAATAATAAAATAGTTATATTGAATAGTTAATGAAATGGTCCTACTATAATTTTGTATAGTAAATATTTTATTAACTCTATCTTGAGTAGATGAGAAAGATTCTTACGTTTGCTTAACTGGCATGAGATCAAGATTAGTTGTGAAGATAGTTTTTGACTCCTACTTACAATGATTACAAAAAATGTCTCAGAAATCAATGACAATAAAACAACCATTTGAGATTTCTCAGTCCTTTTAGACACAATTGCTTGTCCATTGATTCCCTGTTAGCCTCAAGTGATTTAAGCCTCGTGTAGAGTTTCACTATATATCAGGAACACCAAGATCGGTTTGATTCAATATTTCTCCATGACCATCACTTGTGTCATCCCCAAACTTCTGCTCAGGAGCATCACCTGAGATACGCTGTGATGGACAAAATCAATGGTATAGACTCTATCATCCATGTCATGATTTTCTGTTTCTGATAAGTCACCCTCACCCTCAAGCATCTTCCACTTTCCTAAAACTACAGCTGTTGAACCTTGGAGAATCAACGGAAAATTCTGGCTTTTGGTCCTTATTTGTTCCCAAAAGCGAACTTGAACTACCAATGCAAACCCTCCTGAGATGTCTCTGAGGCTTAGGACTCTGACCAACCACCACCTTCTCCAAACAATTCCTCCCTCCGGGTGCAACACCATGAGCCGGAGTAAAGCTAGGAATCCTCTCCATCTGACTTATCATTTGTTCTTAACTCTTCAAATCTTCTTGGCTATTAGTGTGACCCGGTTTAGTTTAATTATGAGATTGGTTAGTTCTGGTTAAGCTTCCATTTACTTAACCAGAAGTCTATATATAGTTGATTGAGATGTAAATATTAGCTCGAGAGATTGTAACAAACTTTGATTCTTTTTCAATAAAGTTCATCTTTACATTTCTCCATTCTCATGGATTCGAGCTCAAGCTTCACCTNTTAGTTCTGGTTAAGCTTCCATTTACTTAACCAGAAGTCTATATATAGTTGATTGAGATGTAAATATTAGCTCGAGAGATTGTAACAAACTTTGATTCTTTTTCAATAAAGTTCATCTTTACATTTCTCCATTCTCATGGATTCGAGCTCAAGCTTCACCTCGTTCATCTTCATCTTCTTCATCTCTGAATGTTAATATGGTATCAGAGCACATCTAATCATCTTCCGCTTCTTCTCTTGAGCTTCGATTTCAATTTTCATGAGTTTTCCGTTGATTCCTGTTTCGCGATTCTTTCGATCTTGTGTTCTTACGATTTGTGAGATCTACGTGGTGATTCTCTATTTCGTCGCTTCGCTGCTGGTTCTCTTTGCTTAATTGGAGCTTTTCTTGAAGATTCTTCATCTTTCCTTTCAAGATTCTCCGATGGCTCCAGATTCCGGGACTACTCCGATTGATCATTACGCCAATCCTTACTATCTTCATCATAATGATCATGCCGGTTTGACTTTGGTTACTGATCGATTGAACACAGCTTCAGAATTTCATTCTTGGAAGAGATCTGTGCGGATGGCTCTAAATGTCCGTAATAAGTTGGGGTTCATTGACGGTACTATTCCTAAACCTTCTTCTTCACATCGTGATTATGGATCTTGGTCAAGATGCAATGATATTGTTGCTACCTGGTTAATGAATTCCGTTTCGAAGAAGATAGGACAGAGTTTACTTTTCATTTCTACTGCGGAGGGAATTTGGAATAATCTGTTGACTAGGTTTAAGCAGGATGATGCTCCTAGGGTTTATGATATTGAGCAGAGGTTAAGTAAGATTGAACAAGGTTCGATGGATGTTTCAACTTACTATACGGAATTAGTAACTCTTTGGGAAGAGCATCGCAATTTTGTTGAGCTTCCTGTTTGTACTTGTGGTAAATGTGAATGTGATGCAGCTGCGTTGTGGGAGAAGTTACAGCAACGTAGTAGAGTTACTAAGTTCTTGATGGGACTGAATGAGTCGTATGAGCATACACGAAGACATATTTTGATGCTGAAGCCAATACCGACTATTGAGGAAGCATATAATATTGTCACTCAGGATGAGAGACAACGTACAATACGTCCAGCTACTGCAGTTGATAACGTTGCTTTTCAGGCAACAGGATTACCCACTGTTATTAATTCTTCACAGTCTGTTGCTCCTACTGGTGTATCTCTTGATAATGCAGCCTATGTGGCAGCTTATAATGCAGGACGAGCAGCAAGACCTATTTGTACTCACTGTGGCAAAGCTGGACATACTGTTCAGAAGTGTTTTAAACTTCATGGTTTTCCTCCCGGTTATAAGGCTCATGGCTATGCTCACAAGAATCAGTCTCAAGCTCGACCATTTCAATCTCAATCCAAACAGTCTTCTCCTGTCACTTCTACTTCTAATGCAGTGGCGACTGTTTGTACTGATCTGGTTACTCCTCAACAATCTCTGGTATCTTCTGCTTCTCCACAGTTTTCTACTGGTGGTACTGATATGGGCTTCCAGAACTTTACTCCTCAACAGATACAGAGTCTTATAGCTCAATTCAATTCTCATGTTCGAGCTTCAGAGTCTCAAGTTCCTTCCTCGTATGCTTCTTTTCCTAAAGCTACTATCACAGAACATGGGGTTAATGATACTTTTTCGTCTGCTGGTACTTTTCCTTTTCCTTCTATTAACCTTACTTTTGCAAACAATACCCTTTGTTATCAAACATACTGCTTATCCTCCCTTCAATCTCTTTTACCTACTGATGCTTGGATAATAGATAGTGGAGCTTCTAGTCATGTTTGTTCAGACTTAGGAATGTTTGATAGTTTTGTACCAGTAACATCTGTGACAGTAACTCTTCCTAATGGTAGCACTGTACCTATTACACACACTGGCACGATAAAACTGAGTGATTCTTTGGTCTTATATGATGTTTTGCTTGTTCCTGATTTTCGTTTTAATTTGATCAGTGTTAGTAACTTGATCAAATCATTGAATTGTGCAGCTCATTTCTTTCCAAATGGTTGTTTGATTCAGGAACTTTCTCGGGGCTTGATGATTGGGAAGGGTAGACTATACAACAATCTATACATTCTAGACAATG